GGCTGATATGACATGTGATATGGCTAAAGCCCTCGGTTTGATATAGGGTCATTGGGCTGATATGGCATGTGATATGGCTAAAGCCCTCGGTTTGATATAGGGTCATTGGGCTGATATGGCATGTGATATGGATTTTACCATGTTGTATTCTACTTATCGTATACTTCAACACAGAAAGTTAGATTCAACACAAATTTAATAAAACAAAAACTCAGGTGATAAAGAACAACTTTCAATACTGATAACTTGATAAGGTTAACATCATCGTACTGTATGCTAATACAACACTTGATTAATCAGAATCAGAGTTCTGAAAGTCGTGATGCCTTTTCCGACCGCCGGTCTGATATTGGTCATGTATGTAGTATTAAGTATATGCTAAAGCTGTATACTCAATCCTAACAAGTGAGGTATCTTATATATGAGGAGTTTCTAATTAAGGATTGATAAATCTCTTTAAACTGACTAGATGTCTTATAGATATACCCTTTTTGGTAAATTACCGAAAGTAAATCTACAGAGAACTCCCCCAAATAAGTTCCGCAAATAAATTATTAGAAACATTATCTGTTATGAAAAATACAACCGTCTTATGGTTATACGTTTATGAAATATTTTTGGCGTCTCTCAAATGTAAGAAATGAGGTCGTGCAAATTTTCTAAGGATGGATAAAAAAATCCTAAAAATGCGTCTTTTCAGAAAACACAACAACACAGCAAGCCTATCCTCAGATGCCACCGAACCAAGCCATGAGTCAGCCCTATCCCGCCTACAACCCTGCATTTGTACCGGATTCTGCCCCAACGGTTGGACCTGGGGCTGCGCCCTATGCGAATGTGGCCCAACCACCCCCATATGATAACAAATATTGACTTGTTACGCCAACACGAACAATTGCTCGTTTATTATAATATTTTGCATAATTGCTGCTAATCTTAAATTTGTTTGGATTTTTATATAAAATGTGCTTGTAATCAATCCCAAAATATATAAGACGTTTATCAGATGTGACAGATATCAATATTCAAGTATTAGCAGTGATTGAGTGTAATATGGTATATGTAACTGTGGACCTGTCCTATTTCTAATTATTTTACAGCTGACTTTCATTTTGCTTATTTTGAAAATCGTTTGTATAATTAAAGAATACATTGAAACAATCAGAGGGTTGTAGAGGAGGTACCATGACCATTAAAGAATACATTGAAACAATCAGCGCGTTGTAGAGGAGGTACCATGACTATTAAAGAATACCTTGAATCAATCAGAGTGTTGTAGAGGAGGTACCATGACTATTAAAGAATACCTTGAATCAATCAGAGGGTTGTAGAGGAGGTACCATGACTATTGAAGAATTTTACGTACCAGTTCTTCAATTTCACTTCGAACATTTTATGTTGTAATCTTTTGTTACATGGAACTATTTGCTTTATTAACATTTGATATATTTATCCTTTTATACAGAAATGAATAAATTCTATAATTTGTATCGCTCAAATAAAAAACAATTCTTCATACATTTCTATTTTTATGTTTACGAGATTAGAACGTATTCTCATCTTCGTCTGCCTATTTCCCGCAAATACTATTTGTTAAGATATTTGGACGATATTCTGACATATATGCAACTAAGTATTTATTTCTAGCTGTGCTGTTTCTTCGGTGAACAAAATGAAGTTCATATAGCAATTCCTAGGCATTATATCCGATTAGAAAAAATATGTATTTTCCAGTTAAGATTTGTTTATACCTGTTATTGATATACAGTCGGTTAATAGGTTATCATACATATGTGTCAGCGGTCCCACAAACAGTTTAGTTGTAGTATGAATGGATCAAAACAGTATACGGATAACCGTGCAATTTGGTTATATAAACAATCTACTTGCCAATAACATAACAAGAATGTCCTTTCTGATAAAAATAACATTACAAGAATGTCCTTTCTCATAACAATAACATTACAAGAATATCCTTTCTGATAAAAATAACATTACAAGAATGTCCTTTCTGATAAAAATAACATTACAAGAATGTCCTTTCTGATAAAAATAACATAACAAGAATGTCCTTTCTGATAAAAATAATATCACAAAAATGTCCTTTCTGATAAAAATAACATTACAAGAATGTCCTTTCTGATAAAAATAACATTACAAGAATGTCCTTTCTGATAACAATAACATTAATGCCGAGTCAATAAAGCTAAGTCCACAACGTTTCACACAGCTCAATGTGCACACAATAAGATCACGAACGAAAAACAGCGATTATAAATCGACAGAAATGTACGCACGATTAACTAACGATATGGAACAGCGAGAGTGGTTGATGTACATTTCGGAATTGTCTAACAACAATGGTGGCAAAACAAAAACATAGTGTAAATAAAAAAAGAATATATTGGTGAATGTCTCAACTCGATACTCTTCTATGGGATAACGCAGAACTTCCATTTCAAACAGATGTCAAGATTAGACTTGCTGTACTGTCATTGAAAGTGGATATATGTTTTAAGATCATATAAAACAATTGGTCATTTGGAAAATTGAAAGTTGGTCTTCGCAATGTCATCTTCAGGCAAGAAACATACCAAGTCCATCACCGTCATATTGTTTATATTATAAAACATAATTATAGCTTTGCAAGTAGCATTGCATTTATCCTTTTTATACTCCTGCTTCAACCTAAGGCCATGCCAAAAATATGTTTCCTGTAACATGTTGGGAAAATGTAGGATAAGTAGGTAACACATTTTATTTAAACAAAGAAGTTTATATGGTTTATATAGGATCTATATTTGAAAATTGCCTTAAAATGTTTAGGGTATGCACAAAAATCAGGGTAAGTATGGTTACCGCTAACACCAAATATTTTTTGTTTGGCCTGTCGAGATGTATAGTATTCTCTTCGTCTCTGCATGCAATCGTCCCTACTGACTGTGATTTTCGGAACATATCTTTGCCACTGTTTCATAAATGGGCATTGACTTTGTATATAAGTACATTATGAGACGGTAGTGTGTCACATCTCAAAACAAGCTCGCTGTGACCACAACTTGACCATTAACCTCAAGTATATCAGCTGCTGCTCCCGGCATAAAACTCTGCATAACAGAAAGGCAATGGGTCCCAACCCAAAATATGGTACGATGACCTTTGACCGTGGTAAGTACTAAAATAAAATATTTTGGAACATATGTCAACAGCTGTTTCATGAATGGGCATTAAACTTTATACGGTATATTGGTATCAGAAGGTGGTGGTCACACTCTAAAATGAGGACAGTGACCTCAACTTGACCTTTCTCAAATCATATCTGCAGCATATGTCTCGGCCAGTTTCATGATTGAGCTTCAAACTTTGTAGACATGTTGGGAGCGAGGGTAACAGTGAAACCCACATTTTGAATTAAAACTAGCTTGAATATAATTTTAACTGATCAAACACTATCTTGATAGTAACAGTAATTCATGAATAAAGTATTTGTTATAAATCTATTTCTTTTCCCTCTGGTAAGCTTCATGAACCAACAACAAGTATCCTATTAACTATCCTTGAACCATGAAATGCAGTTACCATGATGAATTTCAACCCTCTTCCAACATGATAAATAACATTTGTGTCAGAAGCTTGTCAAAAGGACACTGCTTTGAAAAGGAAACCCTAACCCTAAAAATGAAATAGAACAAAGAGCAGTTTAAAATTGTTTAATCATTTATTTGAGCAAATACATCAGTAGAGGTTACAGCATCAACATAAAGCATAACTGATTTCCCTTTGAAATCCTACAGATATAGATATATCAGCGTTGATTCAGTGAAAATGTGCTCTGGGAAAGTAGAAATGGAAAGTACATTTTCGTTAAATAATATTGTGTAAATTTTACTCTTTTTCATGTTTAGAAATTAGAATACGTTATATATATGTAACAAATCCTGAAATGGGAAGTATCAAACTACATTTTCAGTTTGCACTATTTTTGTAATTCATATAAACACTCATTACACAACAATAAAAAGATTTAATAAATCATACATTGAATAACGAAAGTACTGATTATCAATTTTGCTAAACCCTCTTTGAAAAGTATTTTTAATGTTTTAGTAATTGAAGCGTCTATTTTTCTGGAACAAGTCTGTTTCCATAGACTATGTTCATGTTCGGATAAAAAGAGTTTAAGATAGAGTTGTATGATATTTATAATAAGGTTATATCATAATACATTGAAAAGGGCTATTTAGTAAAATGACAATCTGAAAATCGAGTCGTTACTGAAAATAAAGATCTCCTTACGAAAGGTTACGTAGTTGATGAGGACATGACCCGAAGCCAACGTACAGTGTGGTCAGTTACATCTTTTAGGAAAGCTAGTGATAAAATTAGCTACGACCGAAATAGCGCAATATCCGGTCCTTTCAGTGAGAAGTAAACATGTACTGTCGACCGATTATACAGTGTCAGTTATGAGTCTTAGTTCACACATAATTGAATTTACACAGTATATCGGAAGTAAGAATTATAAATATCATAATATATACCTCTTACCAGATATTTCTGTTCACAAATGGATTTGAATAAAAACCAACAGGTTCAATTAGAGCATGCACGCACTGAGAGGTTGGTTGCCGCATTGAGAGTTGCAAGCTGCAGAAAGTACGATATCAATTTTAAACAAGGTTTAAACGTAATATAGATTACTCATGTATAACGATGTTTGAGATGTTGTTGGAAGATGCTTTTGATTCAGAAGATTCTAGGTGAATAAAGCGAGAATTTACCTTCTCTCCTCGGCTGGAGAGACAATTTTGATAACTGGAAATTCAACATCGACAGCTGTCACTAAAACGTACGGTTATACGGTTAAGGATTTCTTCATTACTGATTTAAAACGCCAAGAAAACATTGTCTCTTGTCAATTTATCGACATTAATTGTTCATAGGGAACATCAAACTATATTATCAAGATTATAAAAATATGACTTCTCTAAATTGTCCCTTTAATTGTTCAGTGTTTAAATAATAATATAAAAAGAAATTACACTGAATACATAAAACAGTATGCCATCCTAAAATATTTTGACAAGAATTTCACAGTATTTCATGTTTGCCAGCCCCCACTTTGACCACCAACAGCAATAAGTTTGAGAATCATTTGACATGCATGATGACCTAACTTATTGATGTTTACTCATTTGCAATCTTTCAAATTTAAATCAAATTTAAAATTTCCATCGCATGCGAGACAAAATTGACGTCAATAAAACATTTTAATACAAAAACTGCCAGTTCTATGCATTTAATATGTATATAAGGGTTAACTTCTATAATTGTCCATTCACAGAATCTTTTCATTCTTCACTTCCACTTGATATACTTGTCCAGTATGACTCGCTCTAACCTAGTGCCCTTTGTTATGTTGAACAACAGGAATGGTGTGATGACCTACAAGTCCTTTCTGTGCCATTTACTGCAAACGCCATTCCATCTTGCCAATCTCTCTAATTGTGATGCCTTAAACATCAGTGGATACTGAAATGGGAAATATTTGAATTTTGATAAAGGTCAGCTTTTGCACTACAGTTGTCTACAGGCTTAATTTGAAATTGGACGAAAAGAGTATGGAGTTGAATGTTAATTTGTATCAAATTAAAATCTATAGGTACATGGTTCTTTTTATGAATATTATGAAAATATAGCTTATATTTAATTTTTTGATATTTGCAATAAAAAAAGTTAAAAAAAAGTTAATGGAACTGAATATTTCCTGATTTTGACAGTATCAATCTAGGCCTAATGAACTATTCATGAACGAAACTTAGCAACCAACTATTTATTGTTTGAATTTCGCCATGAATGAAAAAATAATAGAATCAGTGAATAAAAGTTGTGTTATCAAAAAAGCAAGGTCTACTACATCCGTTATCGTTACTTACTCTGTTCACTCGTAATGTTGGTCACGAATCGGCTTACTGAAGCCCATGTAGCATAATTGACAGTTACGGAGCTATTTCAGGGGGAAAGTATTTTTATTTATGATATTTTTACCTTTGTAGACAAATGTATTTCAGACAATTACGCAGATGACAACACGCTCTTTAAGATTTGTGACAATTATTTATATTTGAAAGATTGTTTAGATTGTAATTAAAGTAATGAATCATTCTCTGAATTGAAACCCGTGGAGCGCAATATTTTTTATCAAGCAGACTGTCAATTTGCTAAACTGAACTTTTCATATATACAAATGTTTAATAGACAATACAAATTTGGTAGATCAGTTTGTTGGAACAGAGACGTATAATAGAAACAGAGACGTATAATACATACATACAAATGTCCGGAATACACATATGCTACACTGATATGGATCACAGCACACATAAACATACATATCAGTATAGCATATGTGTATTTCAAACATTTGCGATATGTTGTGCAGATAACTGATCATGAGGTGACTTGAAGTTGGCGAACGCTGTCGGCTGTCAACACACAAATCCGATTTGTAAAAGAGC